AAAAAAAAAAGTGGCTTGCCCTTAAAAGGCAAGTGGTATATTAGGTTTCAAAAAGTCAGGGTCTTAGAAATCCAAGCATTACAATTCTGGTATCATTTATACAGCTAGCTAATAGAGCTACACAGGGATTTAAAAAGGAAGCTGCCACACAAATACAAGTTAGAAGTGACAGAAACATCAAAGAGCTGCAAATGAGAAGCAGGCCTCTAACTCCTGAAATATTCTAGGTTTCTATTACTTCTTGTGGACTGTGTTTCTCTACTGATATCCCGACATCAGACAGTTGTGTTTCTCTTTAGAAGTCTAAGGGTCATGTTTGCGTGTGTATTCTTTTGTATGATGAAATATTTCTAATGTAAAGAATACTGAGGGAGCTCTGGTGGCTTAGTGGCAAGAAGCTGCACTGCAATCCCAGAGGTGTGCGGTTCGTGGAGACAGAGGGACAATTTCCTCCCGTACCAGTCAGATCTGATTTGATGGTACACACAAACACACACACACACACAAGAATGCTGAGAGGTCAAATAAACTAATTTCAATTACTACCCCATGGTCTAAAGCAGCCATCCAAAACTCCCCATCTACAGTGAACAATTCTAAGTCATAGTGTAGAACCCAGGGTGAATGATGGATTGGAAGGTTCACTTAAACAGATCCTAAACAAAACCCAAAATCCAACAGAACAGGGCAGAACTGCCCAGGAAGCACTAACACATCTTTCTCACACATATCAGTTGGCCAGTTTGAACCACAGACCTTCTGCTCAGCAGCCAAACCACGGTGCTATCAGGACTCCAAGTAATTCAAATTCAAGAGAATGAAACACTTGTGTGGGCCACGCAAAGCCCATTCGTAACCAATCCCTCAGCTCACTGCCACTACGTCAGACCCTCTGGCGGGTTTTCAGAGGCTATGAATCACACGGGGGGGGGGGGGGGGGCAGAGTTCCTGAACCAATCTCTAGTGCAATAGAAAGGCTTCAGTTAGAGGTAGGCCTGGGTAAAAGGGACTACACTCAGTAGAGAGTTGGCAGAAGATACTTCCACATATGTATTTATAAATGCTGTAAATATAGCCATGAGAGAATAGGCGAGGGAATTATGCATAGGGAGGAATCCCAGCTTCCCAGCAGTGAAGTCACCCCAAAACCCACTGTTAAGAAAAACACTTGCCAGAGCTAACAGGGCACACTAGTGACTGTTAAGCAGAAGTGACTGAATGCCATAGTCTGCTCCAACGCAGAGTGGCCCTCCAGTGGGTTTCCGAGACTGCAAATTTTAACCAGACAGTCCATCTTCATTTTCAGGAGCAGCTGGGAGATTTGAACCAAAGACCTTTTGGTTATCTGCGGAAAACACTACTGACCATGCCACCAGGGTTCCTTTTTCTGTGTTGCACTGCTAACCAGAAGACCAAGAGTCTCCAGTTCAAATCTACCAATGGCTCCTGGGTGGGATGGACCAAGGTGGAGAGGGGTGGGTGAAGGCCAATCATTCCTCTGAGTTCTCACTTTTCAGATGATAAAGAAAGGGACACACCCCCATGATACAGTCTTGGAAAACCTCAATGGAGGGTCACGAGTTGGAACTGCTAACGTTTCTGTTAGCAGCTCTTTTTAACCATAGCCATTAGCAAGGTAAATAAGGCTGGACTCAAGCTTCTCTTGATTGGACCTAACATCTCGAAGCCAAATAGTTTAATAAAACCCAGACGGGTCCACAGGATGTAAAGTGTAATTCCACTTCCATTTTACACCCCATTGTATCTCAGTTGTGTGTGTGATGACCTTTGGCTTCAAGGGTGTGTGTGTGTGTAAGGACTTAGGGCTCCAAGACACATCCTCTCCAGGATAAAAAAAGGTTTGAATCTTTAACTCCCATCAGAGCTAATGGGGCACAATCAGAGGCGGATGGGACAGGAAATGAGAGAGAGAGCGGGAGTGTTCAAAGCCAGATCAGGGTTCCTCCTGTGATATGCACATCTCACATGGAAGTCCATCATTGAACTTGACATCCTTAGGCCTGTGCCACGAGGTCTTCCCTCCGACCCCTGCCTGCAGTAGTCCCCCTCACCCTCGCAGGGATGAGTACTCCAGCTGGGACCATCTCCCCCCCCACATTGACTTCACTCTGGCTGGCCGGGCTTCCTCGATGGCCATGCCCCAGAAGCGTGGACTCAAAAGGCCCATTTCCGAGCAAAGATCACAATGCGCTCAGGCGTGGGGAGAGTTCCTTCCCGAGCGGATTTCCCAAAGGGACCAGGGATCGCAGGCCAGCGAGGGTCTCCCATGAAGACGGGGCTCCAAACCCTGCACCGGCCACGCGCAGGCCCCGACTGGCCGTTGTCCATCTCTCGTGGCCGCCCTCAGGCTGCACTGCTCCTGGACGCTAAGGGGACCCCCAAGGTGCCCCATTACCCTGATCCCCGCTGGGTCAAGCACCGGAAATGGAGGCCAGAGTGCTTGGGCCGAGGGGTGTCAGGAGGCTACCAGCTGCCCACTCCTTGCCCGATCAGGCTGGTGGCAGCTGGAGTTGGGCCCCTAGACGCTCAAGCAAAGAAGGACCCCCCCTCCCAGCGCCAAGCAAAAGCTTGCTCTACTTTTGGGTGTGCAAAGAATCCGACTTTCTTTTCTAGTTTCTTTTTTCCCCCCTCTAGGTGTCAGGGATCTATGAAGGGCCTCGGCCCATTTTGGCGCCAAATGGCCAGGGGCGCGCGCGACCGGAAGTGCCACCCTGCCCGCGCCAACCGCTGCCGCGCCGACCCGCGCATGCGCGCCCGCCTGTCAGCGGCGGACCCGGGCCGCCCCGTGGGAGAGCGACCCCCCAACGCCGTGACTCCCTCCCCAGGGCGCGATCTCCCTCTGCTCTTACCGCCTGCGGACATCGTCGGGCAAGGAGATGGCCGGGGAGGCCAGCGCGGGCACCCGGGCCGGGGCGGTTCGAGCAGGCATCTTGGAGAATGCAGTTGAGACAGCGGCAGCAGCGGCGCGGGCAGCCCCGGCTTTTCGCGCGGAAACCGACGGGGAGGGGCCGCGAGCGGAGACGGCACATACCACCTAGTCCTGGACGCGGGGGGGCAGGCGGGGTGTACCAAGACCGAAACATGTGCGTGCGGACTGGGTGCCGCGGCCCGCGCGCCGCAGCTGCGCATGCGTGAGGAGGCTGTTCACCCCCGCGCAGCGCAGTGGGCTCGCCCAGGCTCCCCCGTTTGCAGAGGAGGGGGCAGCCTGCGGGAGACATTTCATTCATTCATCTTTTTGAGCTTGTTAAGAATAAAGCGGCGATCGCTGCAGGGGTTTAGAGTGTGAGCTTTTGAATTGAAGCCCTGAACTCCAATCCCGCCTCCACCTGTTTGCTCACTAGCTAACCTTGAGGAAGCCACCTGGACTCACTGTTTCCTTACCTGTAAAAGTGGGGTTAACAGCGCCCGCTCCAGAAAATGTTGAGCTTGCACAAAGACTTTGACAGGAAAGACCTAGTCCATTTCCATAGCTTGTTTTCTTTAAATAGTACCAGAATCAAGTGTATACTTTTACATTTATCCTAGTTATATGGATGTATTAATGTGCAAACACGTATTCCACTAACTGGGAGTTGGGAGGGACCTTCCTGGCCTAAGAGACTTGAGCAGGTGGGGAATTCAAACCACAAATTTTCTAGTTAGTAATCCCACACTTAATTTACTACATCAACCAATATGCCATAAAGGACAATAATAAGACTCCATTTCCCGAGGCTTAAAAGTATGCAAAAAAAAAAAAAAATTGTCAAAAAAGATCCAGACACAGATTCCTTACCCAAGTAGACAGGATGAACTAGTACTGGACCAAAGAGGCAAAAGAGAGAGGGTGGTGCTGAGAAGACAGTCTAAGGGGAGCCTCATAGAGAACCCTGTCCCTAACCTGTCTTGGATAAAGGGATGCTCACAGTGGCAGGATAGCTGAGAAACCTGGTGTTTAAGGGCCTCTACTCAGTAGTCATTTATTCGGCACAGCTGCGTTTATTGATCATTTCCACTAAGTGTTTAATTAGCCTTAATCAACCTTTCTAGGAAGTAGATTACTTCACCCATTTTGCATTTGGAAGAAGGGCTCAAGTTTTAAAAAAAAAGTTTCTCCAAGGACACACTGGTCCCAGATCTGGGCTTCTAGCCCAACTGGTCTGCTCCCAAGTTGTTCAGACCCAACAGCCACATACCATTTTTAATTCCTGTCACATGCAAAACATGAACAACTCCAGTGTAATTTCCTGAAATAAACCACCCAGATCTTTCTGCTTTCCCCCTCAACTCCGAGGCCAGTCAATGATGATCATCTTTCCCTAGGACTATTCCAGCAGCCTCCTCCCTGGCCTCTTAGTTCCCCAGAGGAAGGCCCTTCACACTCCCACCAGAGTCCTTTAGAAAAAGTTTCCCCAACATCATTCTCCCAACAGTCTGCAAAACCCTAGTTCCTCTGAAAAATCCAAGCCTTTTTTGCCCATTTATATTAGTCCTGCCTGGGTGAGTCTCCCCTACTCTCAAAGCTCCAGCTTCTTTCATCTTTTACTCTTTCCAGCTTTTGCTTGTCTCAAAGTCTTTGTAATCCCCTCCCACCAAGCCAGTCTTCTGGAAGATTCACACACAATTCAACCTCAATCGTTTGCCTTCACACAAAAGCTTCTCTGATCACCTTGAGGCAGCCCATAAGCCCCTGCACACTTTATTTCTTCATCATGCTCCACAGAGTCTAACTTCCTGCCTGGGCCATTAGAGCAAAGATGGGCAAACGTTCTTCCTGTGAGGGACCAAGCCCAGCCCATGACACCCCACGGTTTGGATTTCTGAGGCTATAAATATTAACAGGAAGAGATTGCCTCCATTTTCTCATGAGCAGTTGGTGGGTTTGTACCACCAGCTTTTCAGTTAGCAGTCCAACACTTAACCTGCTTTGCCGTTGTGGCTTCTTTGCAAAGGACCAGATAATGAGGGTTTTTTTGGCATTGTGGGGCCACATGGTGTCTTAACTACGGAGCACTGCCCGTTATCATTAAAGTGGCCAGAGACATGTCAACTAATGAGCAGTAGTCAAAAATTAAAAATAAAAATTTACAAAAAATGAGTGCATTGAGCCTGAGGCCCTGAGTGTGCACGGCATAGAAATCGAAAAGGCAGGGGCCAGGGGGCCTTGCTCCCAAAACCAAGTCTCTCTAGGGCTCACAGAGGAGCGAATGTATATAGAGGGTCCCTGATGCAGGGTGAAGATGCACGGATTAGTAGACAACAAAGCGGTTTTCCTCCCCAACACATCTGTTTTCTATTGTACAAGAGGGAAATTGAGGCCCCACTGCTGTCCAGGTTGGACCCCAAGTTTATCTGCTGCCTCTGCCTCTCTCCCCTCTCCTACCCGCTAGCAATGGCTGCAGAGGCGGTGAGGGGAGGGACGACATCCGGGATCCTCCGGCTGGACAGGCTGGCTGGAGGCCCCCTCCCCCGCCTAGACATGGGCTCAGCCGGGCAGGGAGGTGGCTGAAGGCACCAGAAGGAACCACCCTCTGCGTCTGTGGTCATTCACACAATGCTGCCACTTCACCGGCTCCTCAGTCGTGTTCCCAAACCGTCCACCAGAAAGGCTTGTGCAGCCAGAGCAGGCCCCACTCCAGCTTCCGCAGCGCAGCGGCCTTGCTGGGTGGCAGCCCCTCCAAGATTGGCAGCCCAGAGCAGGAGAGCTGGCCCAGGCCGGCCACGTGGCCCGACCACGGTCAGGCAGAAGGCTGCAGCTGAGTCACCCAGATACTGGGAGATTAGTCACGCCGCTGACCTCCTGCTTCGTGACAGGCCTCAGAGGCCCGGGCTGCAGCCACAGAAGTAACATTCAAGGAGTCAACAGGGGGTACTTTGCCACTGTTTGCCCTGGGTTGAGAGGCCACCAGTTCAAACCCCTCAGCCGGTTTATGGGAGAAAAAACCTGGGAAATCTAACAGCATAAAAAAATAAGAAGCCTATGGAGCAGTTCTGCCCTACAAGTTTGCTAGAAGTTGACAGTCCATAGCAAGAACTATTATGCCTGCACTTGGCTGTTAACTAGAAAGTTGATGGTTCAAACTTATTAGCCATTCTTTGTGGACACAGCTTCCAGAAAGATTTTCCCTATGGGGTAGTTCTATTATGTATACATGAAATCACCACAAGTTGGAAACCAACTAACTAGAATCAAACATAGTGATTGGAGAATGGGGCAGGACTGGGCAGTGTTTCATTTTGTTGTTTATAAGGTCACTACGTGGACAGAGCAGAGTTTAGGACTGTTGTACATAGGGTTGCTATGAGTCGCAAGCGACTCGACAGCACATAACAACAACAACATGTTGAGGGAGCGAAGGAGAGGGAGACCCTGGATGAGATGAATTGATACAGTAACTGGGGCAATGGGAGTTTGGTGTGTTGGAGTTAGGAGACTGGCTCAGGACGGGCAGGGTTCAGAGCTGCTGTACACAGGGTCACTGTGCACCACAAGTAACTCCATGGCACATAACAATAACCTGCTACGACAGGTTTGGAAGTAGGAGTGGCATCCACTTCCTAAACCACATGCCTCTGGAAACTCTATGAACTTTGATAAATGTCGAAAGTTGTAGAGGGGCTTCAGGCCTTTTATTCGTAGGATAGCTAGGAGTTGTGCTCAATTTGAAGGCAATCAACAACAGACACACACACATACACACACACACACAGAGCCCAACTCAAAGAGCTAAAATGAAGAGACAAATTCCAAATGTGGCAAGAACACCCAACACTCCCATGTATTTCCAGGGAACATGCAAATGTAAAAGTCCTTTGGAAAAGAATTTGGTAGCACTTACTAAGACTCCATCTCACTTTCTTTAACTATATGGTCAGAAGGGACCAGTTCCTGGAAGACATTGTATTTGGTAGAAAAATGAATAAAAAAGGAGGAAGACCTTCACCAAGATGGACTGAGACAATGGCTTGGAGGCTGTTTCCATGGGCTGAAACTCAGCAGCAATTGTGAGGATGCCACAGGACTGGGCAGGGTTTCATTCCGCTCTTCCTAAGGTCACAGTGAGTCGAAGTAGACTCCTCAGCATCTAATAACCAACAATTAAAGCCACCAGACCCTAGAAAGAAGGGGAAAGCTTAATGAACAGAGCTTGGAAACGACCCACCTACCGCACAGCGATGGCTCCTGAATCACAAAGCAAGATCTTCCCTCCAGCGAAGGTGGGATGCGAGCTGAACCCTTTTAACCAGAAAACCAGAGGGCTCTCACCTGAGGGCCCCTCTGCCCCTAGAATGACCATCAGTTAACCACAGCTGCTTTGCAAAGGCTGCCACTGATATTAAAACTACCTGGCCATCCTCAGTCATCTAAGCCAAACCAAACCAAACTCATTTAAGTCCTGTTGATTCTGACTCATCATGACCCCAGAGGGCAGAGCAGAATCGCCCCAGCTGGTTTCCAGGGCTGTGATCTTTATGGAAACAATCTGCCACATGCCACATCTTGTTCCCACAGAGCAGGTAATGGGTTGGAACCCTCGAACTTTTGGTTAGCAGCTGGGCGCTTGAAACTCACGAACGCCTGGGATCCTCAATTAGCCATCAGAGAGTTGCAAATTAAAAGCACAATGAGCTGCCATTGCACAGCCACTAAGATAGCCAAGATGAGGGAGAAAGACACACATACACACATACACCCGAAAATAACAAATGCTGATTAAGATAAGGGAAGCCTTTATCCATTGCTGGTAAAAATGCAAAAATGATTCAGCTATTGTGGAAAGAGTCAGGTGGTTCCTCAAAAAACTATAAAATCTTTGCTGTGGTGGTGACTTTTCTGTTAGCAGCTGGACACTCACAGGTTCTTTGGAACTACTATTTGTTGTTGTTGTTTTGTATCATTGAGTCAGAACCAACCCGTAGTCGACCCTCCAGGGGATTTTCAGAGGCAGT